AAACTATTACCGGTATAACACCATGTTTTGCAAATACTTTGACAATATCGAACGGTGTCGAGAATGAAAAATCGGACGCTCAAAAAATGACAAAATTCGGTGAAAAATTGTGATCTTTTCATATAAAACACGAGTAGTTCTTGTTTCTTGTTTTTTATTTACCAACAGAATGGGATTTACTTGGAAAAACGCTGTATGACATGATACCACAGCGACATCCTGTTAAAAGAGCAGTTGTATGCAGCGTGTGTACTCGTATAAGCATTACCAATATGAAAATTCCGTATACATACGGATCATTTGAAAGCACTTGATATACGTATCACAGGCATCAGAAGCAAATTACATCTAGAATACAAGTGTGTTGGGGGTCCAAACTGCGTTGATCAGTATTGAATTAAGAACAAGTCTATTTGTTAGCACTTCAGCTGTTGCTTTTGAAGATTATTTATTTAGGATTTATATCAAGCAAAATGAAACGAAAATTAGTCTTCGATTTAGGAGAATATTGGACATATAACATGCATCATTTCAACTCTACAGAGAATAGATATGTATTTGTTGAAAAAAGATTATGTACTATACTCATCCCCTACTACATTTGCTCCTGAATAATAGTTGTACCTAACCACTCACCATTTCTCTTCCCTAACGTTTTGGCGATTACCCATTTTCTTACTTGTTAGAAAAATTTGAACTTTTTTTTCTAATGCTATTCTCTAATTAATATTCGCTCCCCATTCTTGTAAGTAAAAAGTCTCTGAATCACGCTAGGAGTACTGTTCCTGCAAGCCCCCCCCCCCAGCCTTCTCTCTCTCTCTCTCTCTCTCTCTCTCTCTCTCTCTCTCTCTCTTAGTTACAGCTTAAACAAGGTGTTTCAGACAAGATACATTGTTACATAACTCATACATCTGTGCTTATTTTAAATACAAATTTTACATTAAATGTATATAAACATAAATTTCTTTCTTCTTTTTTGTATTTCTGCACTTTATACCGAACCGTATTCACGACGTCATGCGTGACGTCGCCATAGTTTATAGCGTCATTCTTAAAAATGCTACATTTTGCAATGTAAAAGCAATTATTCGCATTTAAATTACGAGAAAACTTACTCGAGGACATACTAATTTTTTTACATAGATTTATCTGAAATCATCTCGGGGTGAAATGACCCAAAGGGAAACAATTTCGTCTGCACCATTTAAAAGTTACTGAGATTTTTTGAAATCTTTGCTGAAAACGAGTCAAAAATGACGTTTTCCCTATAGAATTCAATAGAATAACGACGAAAATGTTACGACAACAATGACGTGTTTGGGATTTAATAACGCAAAAACGATGCAGACGAATTTTATAAAATTTTCAGAGGATGTACAACAAAAGTAGGAGATTCATATATGTAATTTTCATGGTATATTTTCGAGCAATTTTAAAAGGTCACCAACCCCGCGACCTACGTTAAATGTTAAAAAATATCAAAATGACGAATTGATTTACAAACTAAGAATGGATTATTATGTGTTATGATTTTTAATACAATGTTAGATAAAATCGGATATCAGATTTCAGGAGCGCACACAATAATGTAACATACATGTAGGGTCACTTTAAAACCAGTATTTTTTGTAAGAAAACTTGTATGTAAAAATTCTCTTTAGGCTTAAATTTAAAGAACTGACTTAAATGGACAAAATTGATTTTGGTGAATTTTAATGTTTCATATTTCTTTCATATTAAAACTTTTCAAACCAGAATTGAAAAAATAATGTAAAATAACAATCAAAAAGCCATTTTTTCACATATACAAGAGAAGAAACTCAATTAAGGTTTAGATCTAATTATTTATATCCCTGATACCATTTTGAAGCATAAAAAACTATAATTTCTTTTGATTATTAATTCAGAAAGTCTTTTAGGATATAGTAATATTTTTTGTGAGATAAAGTTTTACTCATAAAAATTCTGAAACTTTTTATCCAATTGTCTATTCTATTGCAACCTCAGGATTTTTTAAAACTAAAATGCATGTACAATATGATGATATAAGAGAAAAATATGTTATGGGTTGTTGAAGTTTTTCAAAAAAATGTCAATTAGGTGGTAATTTTTTTTTAATTCACCCAGATACGTATACTTATATATCTTTTGTAACCAAACCAAAACCGTACATGTAGTAATATATCTCGTAATATAATTAACAGACAGACTGATGACGGACGCATTTATCATTACATAAGCATCTTTTCAATGAAAGATAAAGTTTCTTATTAAAAATGCTGTAATTCTTTTAATAAATTTTCAAAAGGTGGACCAGATGCAGTGGAAGGTTTCCCCCGATGTCAACATTTTCATGAAGGTTTGAAGCGACACGTTTTGGTTTTGGTTTTTGTTGTTGATTTTGTGGGGGGGGTTTTTTGTTTTGTTTTGTTTTGTTTTTTTTTTTTTTTGATTGTTTGTTTTTTGTTTTGTTTTGTTTTTTTTTTTTTTTTTGCTTTTTTTTTTTTTTTGCTTTTGTTTTGTTTTGTTTTGTTTTTGTTTGTTTTTTTGTTTTGTTTTTTTGTTTTTTTGTTTTTGTTTGTTTGTTTGTTTTGTTTTGTTTTGTTTTTTTTTTTTTTTTTTTTGTTTTTTGTTCTTTTTTTGGTTTTGTTTTGTTTTGTTTTGTTTTTTGGTTTTTTTTTTTTTTGGTTTTTTTTTTTTTTGGTTTTTTTTTTTTTTTTGGGGGGGGGGGAGGGGTTCTCGCCTATTTACTTCGATTTAATTTTAGGTGTAACTTTACATTGTTGTGCAATTTTAAAAAAAAAAAACAAGTAGAATCTGTCCCTCTGAACATCAGTCGCACTGACAGCTTTTATACCAGATATCTAACTGTAAATGTATAAAATTCATCCACAAAACAAGGAGTACAGCATAATATGTGACTATATGTTACCGCCATGTGTAAAACTGTAAACAAAACGTAAAAAGTATAAAATATTTTTAAAAATCACATCTTTCTTATCCAAACTCTTCTGCAAAAATAAGGTTCACATTTGTTCTCTCTTTAAAATGTGTAAGTTGAAAGGGAATTATATTTTCCCACCTTATTTTCCTATCAAAAAGTGCTATTATAATAGTAATCTATACAAACCTGTAGCTTATAAAAGCTACATGTAATAACTTCTTAAATCATTTCAGGTGGTTTTCATTTTATTGTTTATGATAGTTGCTCAAATTCGGGTCATTTAGATATAGTCCTTCGATCTCTACAAGAAATAAGGTCCCATACGTATTCTCCACAGTTATATGAGTATTAACCAGAAAAAGTGGACACAAACACCGTACAAATCAAAACATAAGGAAGAGTTGTCTGTCTTTGTTTACGGACTACTGAACTAGCAGTCGAGTGTTTGTCTGAAAGTTGGTTTATTTACGACAACAAAAAACTTCATAACGCATAAACCGGTGTGTTTTTCTTTTTTAAAAGTTCCACTACAACCATACCCTGTTAAGAATTCACAGTGTTGGTCTTAATGCGTCGTAGTTTATTGATAAAAACATACGTGTGTTTACAATATTTGTCACGTGATTGGAGTTTACATTCCATAATTTATTGGGTAGATGTCAGTCATAAAACGTGTTTCAGAGAGTAAAGGCTGCTATATGTGAAACAAATGGGGATTGAGGCGTGGTCACCAAGAATTTGTATTATTGAAGTCAGGTATGGTTTGAAGAACCTATTTCTTCAGGTAAAATAAATATATACATTCTATAAATATATTTTTTTAAAAAATCGTGATTTTTTGACGATTTATAAATTGGTATTTAGTATCTGCAGACCAGAGCGACTCTGATCGAGACCACTTCACCTGGCGTCTGTCTGTCACATCTTATATTTGTAAGAGATAATGATTTGATGTTTTACTCATAAATTGCTTGTCACTACATGGCTTTTCTAAAATGCCATGGTTATCGACCTCGTTATCCTTGAGCTTCATTTGTGACATACTTTTAAATTTCAAAACAGTTTTTAGAGGTGTTATATACAGCTTATTGTTGAGGATATTAATATTACACTTATTTCAAGCCACATTTTTTTCACTGTTCCTTACCTTCACCTTTTTTTTATATAATTATATTGTTGATGAATATCACATTTCAGCACAACTGTCTGAAAGTTGTTTTTGTTTTTAAAATGACTTGCATTTTATGCCACAATACTTTGCTCAAAGCCCATGTAAAAGGAAAAAGCTACGAAATGTGTTTATTATTATATTAATTTATTATTACACTAATTTATAGAATGTATTCTGGCAGATTACAGCTAAACATGAAAACACGCTAATAGGGAACACGCTTATATTACTTTGTCGCTTAAGGCAAAGTAGTATTCATTCCCGGTGTTTTAAAAAAATATTGTAAATTGAAAGGATTTGACGAGTTATGCTTATAATGAAGGAAAACTTGTCAATATCTGGCACTTCATTAAAAGCGTGTTTTACTCTAATAAAATTCCATAAAGAGATGTTCGAAGTTTTACAATTTTGAAAAACAAATGTTGGTACAATGGCTGCATAATCTTCCATAAACCTAACAATTCATGATCAAAGAACAGTGAAACAAATAAGGTAACAAAGAAGTATTCGTCCAGTCGAGGACATAATAATAATTCGGAATTGAAAGATTCTAAAACCGATTGCTTATTCAGGCCTGTAGCATTGGTTTTCAAAGTAGGGAACCTCTCAAAAAAATCTGACGAGCAAAACAAAAATTGTAAACCGTTCTAATCCGAAAATTCTATTTCGGGGAAGGGGGGTTTGGGGTTGGTACACTTTTTTCAAGTCCTGGAATTTTGAAGTGATCGACCTTACAACAACAAAAAGTGGGGTGGGGGACCAGTATCTTAATAAAGATTTATTTCATGTATAGCAAAAAAACTATATTAAAAAAAAGGGGCGGGCCCCCATCCCTCACCTCGTTCTACAGGGCCAATCTTAAATGCTGTAAATGACAATCTTTTGATTTCAATATTTGCAGTTGAAAGAGTGCAATAATGTCAGGATTATTGGATATCAACTTTGGTGTGGATCTTCTTGAGGCAGCAAAAGCTGAATATGACTTCCTGATCGAAATCCAACGTTTGGAATACCTTAGAAACGATGCAGTGCTGCAATATTCCATTTACAGATACGAAAATTTTTGGCTTCCACTTGTTGCTTCCCAAAATGAAAGCACCTTACAGCCTGAGTATTTACATCCACCAATTGACATAGAATGGGTTTGGCACTGTCATATGTTAGCACCACACAAGTATGCAGAGGATTGCAAGTCACTGTTTGGAAGAGTGCTCGATCATTCTGTAATAAAGTCACCAGCTGGAAAACAGCTGACAGAGACCATTTGGTCCCGGGCTTATCCTGGTGAAAAATTTGAGCTTAGCTCAGAGATAACAAATGAAAAGGTATTTCATACAATAAAAGAATATAAATCGCATTTTACTTTTGATCTGTTGGCAGCTGTCCATCGACAGCAGGATTTCTATTATAACATCCATCTGCCACATTACAAAGACGACAAATTTCTTAGGGAAGCCTATGTAAGATATAAATTTTTCTTAAATCTTAAGAAGATACATCCAAAAGAATTTTTGGTGCCATGTTATGATATTGATTTGCTTTGGCACACACATCAACTTCATCCGATTGATTATGCAAAAGTAACGGAATCCCTGCTTGGGCGTATCCTCGTTCATGACGACACAGTGGCAGACAGAAGTCCAGGATCCAAACTATCTGTGTCGGATGAAAATACAAGAAGGCTCTGGTTAGAAACGTACCATGTACATTTTTCTAAATTTGGTGCTATGTACCGAGGCGATTCTCCAAGGGGTAAACTTTATCACGTTACACAGCAAGACATTGAAAAAATGTGTGGAAGAAGAGCTGTAGTCACTATACAGGAAATACAAATCACGTCATCAAACACAAATAATGATAAAAAGATTAAGCTGAAAGTATCCAAGACAGATTCCGCATCAAAGAAATCTACTCTGATTAAAAAATTGACAGGAAAAGTAGGAAACATGACATGGGGTCAGCAGGATATTATGTTTTCATTTGGCCCCTATGATTCAACACTTGTTTTTGGGCTCGAAACAAGAAACAGCATATTTGGCGGAAGATCTAAATCCATAGGGGGGTTTCAAGAAAGATTTGGTCTTTACCTTATCCGACCCGAGTTACAGGAAGGTGGTGAATTTCAGTTTGAAAGGGACATGCAGGTAGTGAGCACATTGCCATCAGCAAAATGTTTGGTAAGGGGGTCTTTCTTACGACCTATTCTAGATGACATTGTACTTTCTTTGGAGCCTGGAATCTACGAAGAGGCAAACATGCCAACGAATGTAGAACAACTTTGGGGCCCTGTTCCTTTGCCAAAGTCTGACAAAGAAAACATATGTCAGGTGGCTTCTCACAGGTAACGCATTCAAAAGCATATACATTACATGATTATCATTTTCTTGAATTCCATGGCTAATTTTCCTCTGCATTTGTCACTTGTATCATTGAATACAATGTACATTTATTTCGTTGGTATAAATTACATTTTCGCATTATCAAGCGTCTTAAATCCCTCTTATTCAGTTGTTCTCTTTGCATATCTATGACATGTTATGAAACCTATAGGACGATTCTGAATGGCTGAATTACTCCAGATCGTAATTCAGAGTGAATGTTAAATGTTTAAGTCCATGATTGTATAATGGAAGCAAAAAGTCCCATATCCAGTGCCTATTGGTAACCATTTCTCAAAACAAAAAACAGAAAGAAAAGAAAAACACCTAATTTCTAATTTTTAACTTTCAAGAGACATAAGAGACATTGGCAAGCCTCGGGTCTCTTGAAATGTAAAATATAAACATCACAAACAAATATCAAACTCATAAATCCAGTAAACAAAACAAACAGTTAACAGTGCAGAAACACGGACACCTGAAAACACAAGAGCTGGGCCCAGATTAGGAAACGAGAATTGAGAATAACCGGATACTAACATGAACTGGTGATTCCATCATCAATATTTGTATTTTTTCTAATAAAAGCAATTGTGAGAACATGTACGATACATTTTTTTTTAAATTAAGTTTTCAATTTTATAGGCTGAGAGACCAGAATGGAAACATTATGTTTACTTGTCGTTTAATACACAGTGTAAGTGTTATGACGTCAGTTGTTCATGTGTTCTATCATGATAAGATGGCTGCAGTTGCGCATGTTATCGGTTCTGATCAACTACCATTGGGAACACAGGTAGGCTGTAATTAATTTGTAAATCTTATCATGAAGATGATTCAAGCTTTTTTGTATTTTTCACAAACATTAATTTTTACAACTTCCGGTTATTTGTTTTAAGGAAGTTTTACACGAAGACGTAAACTTTACTATCATTATTATTGGTGAACTGTATTTTTATTCAGAAAAAATCAGAATATTCTTCAATAAAATATTACGTAGGTAGGTCCGGATAATATTTGGTTGGACCCAGGTTCTGGTGAAAGGGCGATTGTAATAAAAACTGAAGAGGGAGATTCTCTGATTCTTGTGGGGAAGTGGGACGGATTTATCAGAGGGATCCCTGGAAGACGAGGTACCTGAGATATCTCCTCTCTCTCTCTCTCTCTCTCTCTCTCTCTCTCTCTCTCTATTCATAATATTTCTTTCAGATTTGTGTTTGATAAATTCAGTGTGGTCAAAATTTCATTTTAGGCAGAAGAGGGGTTCTGGGAAATCCAGGCCATTTGCAAGTAAAAGTTTACAGAGTGGATCATAAAGGTCCTCTCCAAAAGCAATTAATAAATCTTTCACAATACCAACCGGTAGAGTTTGAGGGACTTAAGTTAGATTTCAAGAAAGGTTTAATCACTTGCAGCAGAATTGCTGCTGGACAAGTTCTGAACTATGTAGCCCTGTCATTTTCCATTGCTCTTCTCCACGTTCTCTGTGTGCCACGTCCTTCAAACTGGCAACCTGGAATGTCTCTAAAACCGAAAATAACATCCAGAGGAAGACGAAAAATTGAAAGATTTCCCGACGAAGATATGTCATTTATGCTGGCAGCCGGTCTCTTATATCTAACACCCTCAAACCATTACATGTATCATACATATGGTGCTAACGTTTGTGCTGGCTGTGGTTCTGGGGGCATTGTATGTGAAAATGCTGGTGTTGGATTTGAGCAAGGGAATTGTGTAATTGATTCAGATGGAGGTGATTTTGGTGGTGGAGGTGATTTTGGTGGTGGAGGTGATGGTGGTAGTGCAGGTAATGGCGGTGCTGGCTGCGGAGGATGTGGTGGTTGCGGAGGATGTGGTGGAGGAGGTGGATGTGGTGGTGGTGGAGCAGGTGGATGCGGTGGTGGTGGTGGATGCGGCGGTGGAGGTGGATGCGGAGGTGGCGGAGGAGGTGGATGCGGTGGAGGAGGTGGATGCGGTGGTGGAGGTGGATGTGGTGGAGGATGTGGTGGCGGTGGATGTGGTGGAGGCTAATGATTCTATTATTTTTTTTATTTTGGAAATATATGAAATTTTCATTTTTTCTGAAAAAAAAAAATAGTTCGCTTTATGTGAACTTTATCAACATATTTCAGAATTCCCTCTATTCGCTTTTGAAAATTCTTAAAACCGTTTTGACATTTTTGACTGGATTACAAATATTATTAAACCCATTACGAAAAGCTCTTTATGCTTGAGGAATCATTTTTCCACTTTTCTTTTTTGATTACTCGAAAGGATGTTTTCTTCGTAATAAAAGTAAACAATATAGGAGAAAACAATTTTCCCGGGAAAAGTCACATTTCAGTATCAATGTGTTTAGTTAGTTTCTATTGTATATATATCTAAAATTTTAAAATTTACGTTTTGAACCAAAATTTGATTAAATTATATTCAAATTAAGCTTAAACAAGGTTTCCCCTGTTTACGGTAGTATTGGATACCTGCATGTTGTGACATACTTCCGTTTGAAGTATTGTTTTAAATTTATTTGCATATTTGCCTTTTTCTAAAAAAAAAAAAAAAAAAACTATCTGAAGCTATTTTAATGCAAGTTTTCACAAGCTAGTATTTTATTTGAAATAGACGAGTATGTAACTCCTAATAAATGTACTAGATGGACATTTAAAACTGCAAACCATGTAAAAGATAGATTAAACACTGCTGCTTTTGAACCCTTTTAAGCGAAAGATGTACATTTTTTTCCAATTGTTTGAGTAACTGTGCAACACCTTCTGTGCGCTGAGACATTGATTAGTGTCATTATTTCACTTTGTGCTAAATTATAACTTAGCAAATATCATGTTACGTAGAACTGTTCTTTTTTGTTATTTCACTCAAGAAGTAACAGTTACTGTTTGATCACAAGTTAACTTGCATAAAGCCCCAAATCTCTAATAACTTTGATTGAGCTTTGAATGAGGCATCTTGGAAAGCAATTGTTCATACAGTTGTTCATGCATTGTTTTCAAAACAGTTCAATGTTGAAAAGTATCATTGTAGAAGAGTGGTGATTTTTTTAAGTTTTTGGGGAAAATGGTCATAATTTCTGAAATAGCACTCAGGGTATTCCAACCATTTGAAAATTAAGAAAACAACTCTCCATTTGGATCTTTTAATTCAAAAATTTTTTAATGCATCTGATATTTTCCATTAATATTATTATATATTTTAGTGTGTACATTTGTTATTACTTAGGCATATTCTAATTGTAGATTACCATGGAATGTATATCCGTCTGTTTTCAAGAAATAATGTTTTTCCAGTTTTTATGCCTATTTTTGCTAATTATTTTAAAAATATATCATTTTTGTTTTTATATCGACACTATATATCAATTCACTCTTGTATATTACATGTACATGTATATTAAGCCTGTGAAAAAAAATATACAAGAAAAAAATCACTTTTATAATTTTTCATTAAAATATATTTTTTAAAAAAATAGTAGAATTAGAATTTGAGATACTGAAATCAATCCCACTGATATAAGTTTTTGTTTTGTTAAATTGTTTATTGTTTAACGTCCCTCCTGAGAATTTTTCACTCCTATGGAGACGCCATCACTTGCCGGTGTAGAGCTACAAATTTTGACCTATACTCGGCACTTAGGGCCATTGAGCAGTGAGGGATCTTTTTCGTGCCAGCACCTACTGCGACACGAGACCTCGGTTCATACGGTCTCATCCGAAGGACCGGTCTCCATGTCCCACAGTGGGATTCGAACCCGCGACGTAAGGATCAACTCCTTACTCCGCGACTCTAGAACGAACGCTCTAACCACTGCGCCACGCGGGCGACCACTAATATTGGTAAATAAATACATGTAGATAGGAGTGTTCTGTCTGGTATCGTATAGCGGGTTATTTTAGTGAGGTGCTAATTTTGGTTTAATTTTTTAACTTTTTGGTAGTAGCCCGCTAAAATTTTAATCGCTAAAATAATTAATATTCTTCTAAGTGTTCTTTTGCAACGTTTTAAAACCATATGTCCGCTAAAATAAATTACGCCAAAATTTTTGGCGTACCTTTGAACAAGCAAATCACCAAATTTTACATCCACCAAGAAAACCCAGTATACGTAAAATACGGTATCCCATACAACCTTAAGCATAGATGTTTGCAAGAATTTAGACCTAGAAATTTGCCCCTAAATATAGAATTATGATATTTTGATAGGAACTGATTTTAGAAATATTTTTAGGGGCATTCCGGCCATAGGATAAAAAGAATCATACAAAACAAGCATTCTGAGAGTATTGCATTAGCAATACTAGTTCCCTACCGGCAAGTGTAATCTTGTTCCCGTTAAGAATTGAAAATGCCATAATTCCGTCAAAATTCAATGAAGCGGGACGAAATGCAAACTTGATCTATAACTAATCAAGGTAAAGTCACATACCAAAAATCAGCTTAATATCTGAAAGCGTTTAGAAGAAAATTGCGGAAAACCCTTAAAAATTGAAAAGGCCGTAATTCCGTCAAAAATCAATGAAGTGGAACGAAATGCAAAATTGATCTGTAACTCATCAAGATACATTCGCATACCAACAATCAGCTCAATATCTGCAAGCGTTTAGTAAAAAAGTGCGGAAAACCAAGTGGGGCAGACGGACAGACAGACGGGCGGACAGACTCAGAGGAAACCTATAGTCCCCTCCGGTTTCACCGGTAGGGGACTAATAAGGAAAAGATGTTTGTCAGCTGATTCATATTTATAAGGTAACCATCAATGTCGGCGTAGCTCGGTTGGTTGGAACGCTTACTCTCATAACCGATGTTGGTTCTTATTAGTCCCCTACCGGTAAACCGGAGGGGAGTATAGGTTTCCTCCGAGTCTGTCCGTCCGTCTATCTGTCCGTCCGTCCGTCTAGCTGTCCCTCTGTCTGTCTGTCCCACTTGGTTTTCCGCACTTATTTTCCTAAACGCTTGCAGATATTGAACTGATTTTCGATATGTGAGTGTATCTTGATTTTTGACGGAATTATAGCATTTTCAATTCTTAACGGGAACCAGATTACACTTGCCGATAGGGGACTAGTATTGCTAATGAAATACTCTCAGAATCCTTGTTGTTGTTTCAATCCACCTGGTGTCACAATTTTTTAGAATTTTTGCTTGCTGCTTTAACACTTGATTTGCTTTTTGATTTGTGTATTTCCCTACAATAATCTACCATTAATGCATGTTCATTTTTGATAAAAAGAGATTATGAAATCTAACTAAAGCACAATCAAGCGGAACTATTCTTCAGTTTAACACCCTTTCTACGACTTCAAGAACTATTCACTGTGTTTTTCGATACAGGTATTCTCGTCTGCAGTATCAGCTGTGATTGATTTCAATTGTATATACATATACATTTGATACCCTAGAAATTAATCAGTTCATTATGTTTGTTTTTGTTGAGTTGATAAGCTTGAACGCATACCTAGCGCTTTTATTATTTGTGCTAAGTATAGTAGGTATTTACAATTAATAAACACTCTATGCTTTTGAAGTCAATGCGTTTCTTGTTAATTTCCAACTCAAAATACTTTGGCAATATCATATACACGGTTGATATCAATGAAAAGGTCCATCCTTTCTCTACATGCTGTACAAAAAAAAAACTTTAACCTGGACACTCAACTGTATAGTCACTCAAAATGTAGGTCAGGTGCAGCATCCGAAACAAGTCTGGTAGTGTCCATCCCTAGATGCATCATCCATGCAAGTTTGGTCCAGGTAGGTCTTATAGTTTATCTACATGTACGAATTAGAAAACATAGTTACTTGGGAATGGACCTGCTCCAAAAACTTTAACTTGGTCACTCATCTGAAAAATGTGGGTCAGATGCTGCATCTGAAGCAAGTTTGATAGTGTCCATCACTAGATGCGTCATCCATGCAAGGTTGGTCGAGGTAGGGCTTATAGTTTATCTACAGTTTATCTACATGTACGAATTAGAAAACATTAAATATAACAATCTGAAATCCATTGTAAAAATACTGTGATTTACTTAAGGGAATTTACTGTAGTAAAATTTTGATATTTTAGTAAACTATAGTTAAGTATAGTAAACCATAGTATATTTTTGTTATGGACCAAACCAAACCAAACCCGTACGAGATAATTAAAGCATTTTGAAGAAAAAACAAGAGGCCCAAGGGCCTTAATGGTCACCTGAGTATAATACAACAATGTAAAGGATTTATATATGACGTATAAAACAAAATTAAATGCCAGATGAAGCTATGTTCCCAAAGAATTTCAAAAATCTAGTAAAAATACCCTTGTTTACTGTAACATGCGCGACCCTAGTGATCTCCTTCAGGATCGTAGTTTATTTTCATAAGTCTTACAGGGATGATAAAATAAATCAATGCAAAATATACAAGTGCATGTACAATGAACACTTGCCTCGTGTGTAAGGTATTCAATATATACAGATGTTTTTGTCAGTTGCCTAGTGCTACAATTAAGTAAACAAGGAGAAATCGAGGTGATACCTCTAGGCTACAAAAACAACGTGAATTTACGTGAATCTCCGTGAATTTACCTGACAATAAGATGCCAATTGTTCGACAGTACACTACATACACTTAATTCAGTTGGCCCTTTCGCTACATAAAAAATCTTTATTTCAATCTTTTATACTGCTTTCCAGGCAAGAATCTGACTTTGAGCATGTTTTGCTCGTTTAAACCAAACAATCATTTTTATTTTGTTTCTATATATATATATATATATATATATATATATATATATATATATATATATATATATATATATATATATATATATATATATATATATACCGGTATATATATATATATATATATATATATATATATATATATATATATATATATATATATATATATATATATATATATATATATATATATATATATATATAAAGCACTAAAAACCAACAACAATGTATATCCTAAGTGTCGGATCTACTAAGTAGATACAAGGTCACGGATTGAAATTTTTATAAAGCACTAAAAATGACTAACGACACGAACAATAATAATTGTCAAATTTTCGGGACGACCTGTCCCTTCCTCAGGACAAAGAAAAAAGTTAAGAAGTCATAAAAACAAAGGAAATAGAGAAACAAAAACAACTAGCACTACTACTAAACTACCAAACACTAAATATTTACAGTGTTACATGTTTAATTTGAAGTTTATGAACAGTTGTGAACAAAGAAATCCGGAGCGCTATGAATTGCGTCCGGTCTATCGGATGTACTCTCGTAAATAACGACGTTATTATGTCAAGTTGCTATTGTTATTGTCAATATTCAAAATCCACTGAAGAGCCAATAGGCGAAAGCGCTATGGATTAAAGTGCCATCTTCTACGAAATCTTTATCATTTTTTTCTGTATTACTACCTATACCAAGGACTTCTTTAATTTTAATATATATATATATATATATATATATATATATATATATATATATATATATATATATATATATATATATATATATATATATATATATATATATATATATATATATATATATATATATATATATATATAAAATATTCTTTCTTGTATTCTCATTCCATCAAATAACCTGTAAATTATATTAAAGCAAAGGGAGTAATTCTCATTTGCTCAATAGACCGACTTTGACGGGGTCTACTATCGCGCCATCTAGTGAGATTATGCATTTTGACCTCTATTGACCTATGCTATGGACCAATCAGAGTAAGCCAATTAAATAGAGAATGTGAAACAGAGTGCAAAAAAAGCTCAATTCTGGAATCGACTTCAGCATATCTCGGGAAGTATACGGAATTTCGGAATGAACTTTGGTTTCAATGTAGGGTGATTATATAAGAAAAGATATGAATGGAAAGTAAAGATAAGATCATTTGATTTACAAAAATTTTATTGGCAAAAGGGGGTACACTATGTAGGGAGTCCCATACCTTTATCTTTTAAATACACCCAAAATTTTTCGTATAAGTCGGATTTAAGCAATCTAAAGGTTTGTTTGATAAATATTATAATAATACGTGTATTTTGGTAGTTTTAATACCTTCATAACAAAGGTTTTGTTATTGTTTTAAACATTATTCTAACTTGAAATATTCCTATCATACCATACTTCTGCTATTCAATAAATGAAGTCGAAGGCTCGTAGTTTCTTCAATCATGAACCGATCTCTTTAGATATACTTAGCATCGAAACGTATGTGTAACACTTCCTGGTTTGAACTGATTGGAGCTTATTTCATAAACAACACAAAAATGTTAAAGTCCAAAGATAAGGTTGGGATATTGCTACACTGTCTGTGGGCTTTATTGATATCTACATTATTACGTCGTCCTGCATTTGACAACTTCATGTTTAGACACCTTACATTTTAAGGACTGGTGGAAGATTAACTTTGATATAAATCTGAGGCGATTCGATGATAAACTTCAAATGCATTGCGACAAAAAAACTTGAACCGTCAATTTGAGTTAGTCGAATTTCACAGATTTTTAACCAAAAAAAGTAGTGGAAAGACTACTGTAGATTTTTTTTTCAAAATGGTAAGGATATTTATTTGTTTAAACTATGATTTTCTGTCGTTATAAAGTTAGCGTGAAACTTAAGATGACCTCTGAGCATTTTCAAAAAAAAATGTAAATATGTTTATTCTGGCAGAGATTATAATAAATACATTTAAAGAAATCAAAATGGTGCACACCTTCTATTGAAATTCAGTGTTAAGTAATCTGATTTGTCAAAGAATCATTGATTTGATATATTTTCAAAATTTTATTTCTGATTCATTTCAAAATTTCATTTTCAAATGGATAACACTTATTCTTTTTATTTCAGCTATTGTTTCTCTCAGTAACGGCTGCACTGCTTCTGCAAGTAGAACTCGCCCCGGTAACGCTGAGTTGTTCAAATTGTGTTTGTACAGGAGACATAATTAACTGTCGTGGCATCGGTCTAACAACGATGCCACATATTCCAAATAATTTTGGAACTTACCATCGGTTAGACCTCAGCAACAATTCTATAGGGACACTCCACAGCCATGCATTCCGTGGCCTAAATCAACTACGTGATCTAGACTTAAGCGATAATCATTTGACGACCATTGATCGTCATGCTTTTGCTGATATTGCCAATATTACTCGACTTAGTATTGCAAGTAACCAACTAACATCACTTCCAGACGCTTTGAATGACCTCAGTAATCTGGAAGCTTTAGACGTTACCGATAACCCAATCCCTCCCGATACCCACATTGGATTTAAAAATGATATCATGCGACATCTTGGTGGTAAGCTCAAAGAATTTCATTTCGGAGATGACATTATAACAACATGGCCACAATCTACGAACCATCTTCAAGCACTTGAAATCCTGGATTTAAACGGGGGCAACATTGGCTACATCCCACCTTTTTTCACGGACGGTTTTCGAAGCCGCCTTCGTAGTCTTACAATTCGGAACACAAGATTGCCAACCACTCCAATACTTACAGGATTGCGAAGTCTTAAAGAGCTTCACCTTGATAATAATCCATTCCATGACTACGGTGTACTGGAAAATTCCTTCACGGGACTCGACGCCTTAGAGACATTGAGTTTAAACAGCGATCTACTCACAAAATTTCCTCCAATTCTCCAACACCTTCCAAATCTAGTAAGCGTTGCCTTGGACGGAAATAGTTTCTATTACATCAGCGACAATGCCATTACTCTGATCCATGGAACAAACATTACAGAACTGAGTCTCCGAGACTGCAATTTAGACCGCGTTCCCGGTGCCCTCACGGGAAACACTCTTTATCAGCTCACAAAAATAGATCTATCTAATAATAATATTAACAGTATTGAACGGTATGACTTAGATGGCCTTCATAATATCCGAAACCTATCAATGTCCAACAATCCTTTGCAATATGTGTCGTCACATGCGCTGAATTTGACTTCTCTCCAGTTTCTTGATTTGAGCAATACCCAGTTGACAACTGTCCCCAAGGCAATACAAAATATACCAAATTTGAGAAAGCTGAACCTAGGCAACAATGAAATTGACTGTACTTGTGATCTCATCTGGTTCCAAAAACTGGTCAACCCTCAACATGCAACATTAAATTTGACCGGAAGTTGTGAAACAATAGATCGCACAGTTCTAGAGTATCTTGCTCAATTCATTCCTAAGTGCCCTGATTATCTCAGTTCGCTGTCACTTTCGAATCCAACAAAATGAAACAATGACCTTTTAGAAGATTCTGATTGTCTTAGCAATCTCTTGCAAAGACTTATGACTTCACAAACAAGTTGACGCATTTTCAAAACTTGGTACATACCCACATTAACCTAACTGCTTAAAGGAGAACTGTTTTGTATATATTTGTACAATACTTTTGCATGTAATCAAATAATTTAATTTCCACATCAATAAATTTAGTATTACACAATATACAAATTATTTTAAATGTTGCCACAAACTTTAAAATGCTTATCATTAACAATGTGTCAAGTTAAGGAAACTGAATCGAGTCAAAGAACCTGCAGATAAATGAATTAAGCTTGCTAAAAATTCAGTACATAGTAAATATTTGTATTGAAGGGGGAGCAACTCTATCAAATAAAATGTGTATAACTTCGGTATTGTTAGAGAAGTATTTTGGTGGTAGCTTTTGACTATTAGAATAGTTTCGGTATTGAGTCTATTTTATTACAGTATGCATATTCAAATGCTCCTATTCCGATTAGAATTCTTGTTAAAGGTAATGTTGGCTTTGCATAGCACGTCACAATTATCGCTGAGAAAGATTTTCGAGTTTCCATTTTTAGAAGGGGTCACGTAACCCGTCAGCTTGTTTATTGTCAGTGAAGTCGTGAATTTATCACGAAAAAAGTGCAGCAATTGCTTTCATTAAAAAAAAAATCCCTGTTAATCAAACTAAGAATCAAAGTAATTTAAAGATTTTTTTTTCAACACAAATTAAAGATATTGGACTAGACTGAAGCTAGCAGCCAATAACAGCAGCCATTAAGCCCGTAGAAGCTAGCAGCCACTAAGGAAATTCATCAAAGGACTGAGAGTACTCTGACGCAATACTGTTTAATGCCTCATTTTCGACAATTTATAATTAATAATTAGATAATTAATGCAACACTTAATTATTAATTAATAATTCAAACACTTGGAGGCAGTTAAGCTCACCTGCATAAGGAAAATTATGCGGTTTCACAACAAACAAACAAACAAACAAAAAGAAGAAAATGTCACCATCTTTGACCGCTTAAGAATAAAACAGCATTGGATAGGTTAAGTACTTCCGGGAGAATCCCTTTTAGGCTCTTTTACCGGTCTCAGGAACATGATGGTGCCAAAAGGCTAACCTGAAATTTGCTTACTCCTAATATTTACATTGATAAGGGTTTGAAGGTAATTTAATCTATTTTAAGTTATGATCCTTGAAGTGTGCTTCGAACAATTACTGACTCAAGGTAAAAGGGTCCACAGGGCTATTATATACGGCCATAAAATTTAGGCTGAAGTGGTACCACCAAGTGGTGCCAAGGGCGGGTTACGTATTTCAAGCAGCTATTATACCTCTTATCTTATAAGTGTGCTTTAAATCATTACTGTGCAAGATAGAAGATTTCTAGGACTATCTTTCCCGCAATCGGTTTGAGGCTGTAACGGCACCACCAAGTGGTGCCAACGGTGGGGAACATCTTTCATGCTTTCATTTTTCAACCATCATTGACCACTAGAACAAACTAACACTAAACTGGAAAAAAGTTAAGGGCCTTAGGGAGTATCCTTTGTCGACTTTTTGACAGGTTCCAATGACTAGAAAAGGCCAGTTAGGTAACCTGAACTTTGTTGTTTTTCACATTGTCTATTGATATACGGATTAAAAGTCAGATGTTATACCCCTTATCTTTGAAGTGTGCTTCAAATCATTACTGGGGCAAGGTAGAGGGCCCCTAGGACTATCATTTCCCGCTATCAGAATGTTGCTGTAGTGGTACCACCTAGTGGTGCCATGGGTGGGGGACGTAATTCAAGCATTCATTTTGAAAGCATCTTTGACTACTAGAACAAAGTAACACTAGTGAAAGGTTAAGGACCTTAGGGAGAACCACTTGTCAGATTTTGGAAGTGTCCCTAGGAAAGGAAGGGGCCAGTAAGCTAACCTGAAATTTGTTGTTTTTCACATTGTGTTTTAATATACGGGTTAAAGGTCAGCTATTATACCTCTTATCTTTGAAGTGTGCTTCAAATCATTACTGGGGCAAGGTAGAGGGTCCCTTGGACTATCATTTCCCGCTATCAGAATGTTGCTGTAGTGGTACCACCAAGTGGTGCCATGGGTGGGGCACGTATTTCAAGCATTCATACTGAAAGCATCTTTGGTTACTAGAACAAAGTAACACTAGTGAAAGGTTAAGGACCTTAGGGAGAACCACTTGCCAGGTTTTCGAAGGGTCGTGTTGAAGAAAAAGGGCCAGTAAGCTAACATGAACTTTGTTGTTTTTCACATTGTGTTTCAATATACGGGTTCAAGGTCAGAAAATTGATTAAAATTGATATAAAGGTCACATAGAAAAAGCTGAATATGTTTAAATATAACATACGATGGACGACAAATGACAACAGACGAAAACATATAGCAATAAGTCACCTGAGTAAATGAACAACCTCATCTCAAAATGTAATGTTAAAATGTGACAATGTTTGGATGAGATGATTGTCTCAAAGACTCTCTTAAAACATAACAAGGGGCACTTTCTATGATCCCTTTCCCTTGCCTAGTGTTGGTTTGTTACATTATTCAAAGATGGCGAAGAAAAAAACGCTTGAAACAACCCACTTGGCGGAACCCCTACAGTGAAAATGATAAGCCAGCCCCCCCCCCCCCCCCCATTCTGCCACAAAAGTGCTTTCATGCACACTTCAAAAATAATGGGATAATAGACGAATCCTAAATTTTCTTAAAAACTGAACAAGAAAAAAAATAAAGTTTCTATCAGAATATTGGCAATGTCCAATCTTAAAGACCCTCCAAAAACTGAAAAGGAATACTCCCTATGATCCCTTACCTTTCCCTTGTGTTGGTTTCTTATGGTGTTCAAATATTGCGAAAAATAAATACTTCAAAAAGGGCTTTCAACCAAAGCACAACTAGGTGGTTCCCCTAAAGTCTTAATCTGAGATCGGCAAATGATAGCCCGATACGCCACCTCCTATACCCTACTAAGGTATGATGCATATCCACTTTCAAAAAATAATAACTGATCTTTATCCGTGTTTCAATATTCAATGTAAATAAACGACAAAGTTGAACTGGCACCCATCAAGTCCGAGAGAACCCGAAAGTTTCCAATGATCCTCAACCAGTATTAGTTTCTTCTAGGGGCCTAAGCTGATTTGAAAATGAAAGTTTGAATTACGCCCCCACCCATGGCACCACTTGGTGGTACCACTACAGCAACATTCTGATAGCGGGAAATGATAGTCCTAGGAGCCCTCTACCTTGCCCCAGTTATGATTTGAAGCACACTTCAAAGTTAAGGGGGTATAATAGCTGACCTTTTACCCGTATATTAAAACACAATGTGAAAAACAACAAAGTTCGGGTTAGCTTACTGGCCTCTTTACTTCCCCGGGACCCTTCAAAAACTTGGAAAATGGTTCTCCTTGAGGTCCTTAACCTTTCACTAGTGTTACTTTGTTCTAGTAACCAAAGATGCTTTCAAAATGAATGCTTGAAATACGCCCCCCACTCATGGCACCACTAGGTGGTACCACTACAGCAACATTCTGATAGCGGGAAATGATAGTCCTAAGGGCCCTTTACCTTGTCCCAGTAATGATCTGAAGCACACTTCAAAGATAAGGGGTATAATAGCTGACCTTTAACCCGTATATTAAAACACAAATGAAAAACAACAAAGTTCAGGTTAGCTAACTGGCCCTTTTTCTTTTTCAGGACCCTTCAGAAACCTGGCAAGTGGTTCTCCCTAAGGTCCTCAACCTTTCACTAGTGTTACTTTGTTCTAGTAGTCAAAGATGCTTTAAAAATGAATGCTTGAAATACGTCCCCCACCCATGGCACCACTTGGTGGTACCACTACAGCAACATTCTGATAGCGGGAAATGATAGTCCTAGGGGCCCTCTACCTTGTCCCAGTAATGATTTGAAGCACACTTCAAAGATAAGAGGTACAATAGCTGACCTTGAACCCGTATATTGAAACACAATGTGAAAAACAACAAAGTTCAGGTTAGCTTACTGGCCCTTTTTCTTCAACACGACCCTTCGAAAACCTGGCAAGTGGTTCTCCCTAAGGTCCTTAACCTTTCACTAGTGTTACTTTGTTCTAGTAACCAAAGATGCTTTCAGTATGAATGCTTGAAATACGTGCCCCACCCATGGCACCACTTGGTGGTACCACTACAGCAACATTCTGATAGCGGGAAATGATAGTCCAAGGGACCCTCTACCTTGCCCCAATAATGATTTGAAGCACACTTCAAAGATAAGAGGTATAATAGCTGACCTTTAACCCGTATATTAAAACACAATGTGAAAAACAACAAATTTCAGGTTAGCTTACTGGCCCCTTCCTTTCCTAGGGACACTTCCAAAACCTGACAAGTGGTTCTCCCTAAGGTCCTTAACCTTTCACTAGTGTTACTTTGTTCTAGTAGTCAAAGATGCTTTAAAAATGAATGCTTGAATTACGTCCCCCACCCATGGCACCACTAGGTGGTACCACTACAGCAACATTCTGATAGCGGGAAATGATAGTCCTAGGGGCCCTCTACCTTGCCCCAGTAATGATTTGAAGCACACTTCAAAGATAAGGGGTATAACATCTGACTTTTAATCCGTATATCAATAGACAATGTGAAAAACAACAAAGTTCAGGTTACCTAACTGGCCTTTTCTAGTCATTGGAACCTGTCAAAAAGTTGACAAAGGATACTCCCTAAGGCCCTTAACTTTTTTCCAGTTTAGTGTTAGTTTGTTCTAGTGGTCAATGATGGTTGAAAAATGAAAGCATGAAAGATGTTCCCCACCGTTGGCACCACTTGGTGGTGCCGTTACAGCCTCAACCCGATTGCGGGAAAGATAGTCCTAGAAATCTTCTATCTTGCACAGTAATGATTTAAAGCACACTTATAAGATAAGAGGTATAATAGCTGCTTGAAATACGTAACCCGCCCTTGGCACCACTTGGTGGTACCACTTCAGCCTAAATTTTATGGCCGTAT